GCTGGGAATAGGCAAGAATAGACAACTCCTCACCAAGGCCTCAGGGATGTCTCTAGATACCAGCTTTTTTGCTGCTGGACACACTTGCTGTGGTTCTTAGGGCCAGTGATGGGGATGTGAACAATTAACTGAATTGAAACCAGGAAGTGAGTGGAAAATACGTGGCCACTTTCTGGCCTTTTCATTGCTCCTGTGGGAGCTCTGTGGCTATCTGCCTGGCACCTTTAGCCAGTCACTGTTAAACCAGAGCATCATATGTTCATTTTCAGAGAAGGAAAGATGCCATTCCACTTCTTACAGGCTTCCTGCCATGGTGCCTTGCACAGGATAGGTGCTCAATGAAGTTCTGAGTTCTGTAAACTCAATCTTCCTAAAAATGTCTTTTAAACAAAGACCATCCCCCCACACGAGGAACAGATGTGTCTCAAGTAACTGTTATATGCCAAACATGATCTGGGTAATTTCATACCCGTTAACACATCCAGTCTTTTCCCCAGTGACTGAAGAGATGGCAATCGTTAACAATAAAGAAACCGAAGATCAGAGAGGTAGTTAAGTAATTCCCCCAAGGTCACACAGCTATTATGTGGCAGAATCAGGATTTAAACCCCGGTCACCTGGCACCAGAGCCTATTGTACTTCGGTTCTCCTTTCGAGCCCTCTTGTGAGTTTGTGAAATACACAAGGACCTGGCCTCTCTATCCTCTTAGAAGAACACATGGCTGGTCTTGCCGGGGTCAGAGACCTTGTGATATACCCTTCACCTCGGCATCCCCTTTTAAGGCGGCTGGCTCATTACTGCCTCCCTCTCAGGAGCCTGAGTGATTGCCAAATCCCTGGTGAGGGAAGCATCAGCAGGAAAGGTTACAGGTGCCTCTGGAGCAGGTTGTTGCAATATTTGATTATCCATTTGGTTGTTACAGAAAAATCCTTAACTGTAATTGATGTTTGTTGCTGTAATAGTATATTGCCTGTATTTCTACCTCTAGTAATGGGCTTTATGTGCTAGATTTTAATATCCTTGAGCCTGGGCAAGCGCACGTGCATGCTAAGATGCTTTGGTCATGACTGATTCTTTGCAACCCTATGGACTGTAGCCCACCAGGCTCCCCCCTCTCTATGGGATTCTCCAGCAAGAATACTGGTGGGTTGCCATGCCCTCCTCCAGGAGAACTTGCCGACCCAGGGATCGAACCCTGGTCTGTTATGTTTCCTGCGTTGGCAGGTGGGTTCTTCACCACTGTGCTGTGCTTAGTCACTGAGTCATGTCTGACTCTTTGCGACCCCGTAGACTGCAGCCTGCCAGGCTCCTCTGTCTGTGGGATTCTCCAGGCAAGAACACTGGAGTGAGTTGCCATGCTCTCCTCTGGAGTCTACCGCTAGTGCCACTAGTGGTAGAGGTATTTCTACTTCTAGTAATGGGCTTTATGTGCTACATTCTAATATCCTTCAGCCTGAGCAAGTGCGCAAGTCTTTTTAAAAGAAACATGGTTTCCTTGCACAGAACTGATCAGTTTTGAGAGATCATGAATGCCCTTAAAGTGGTCTTTGTAGGTGTGAAACAAATGGTGAGTCTTTGAACTGGTCCCTCTTAGCAGTGGGTTTCTGGTGGCTCAGACAGTAAAGAATCTGCCTGCGATGCAGAAGACCCAGGTTCAATCCTTAGGTCAGCAAGATCCCCTGGAGAAGGAAGTGGCAACCCACTCCAATACTCTTGCCCAGAGAGTCCCATGGACAGAGGAGCCTGGTGGCGGGCTACAGTCCATGGGGTTGCAAAGAGCTAGACACGACTGAGCGACTAACACTTTCACTCTTAGTATATGGTAGTGAAATAAGTCTGCTTAATTTATCAGGTCGTGTTCATGCTCTGATTTTATATACTTGTATGTCAACAGACATTGTGATACTTGAAAAAAAATCACCTGCTTCCCACCCCACTTTGCAGTGATAAAAGCCCCCCCCCCCTCCCCAAAGCAGGCAGTCCTCTGACTGAGAGCTGAAGCGGGGCTGGAGCTAGCCCAATACACTGATGGCAGAGCTGAGCTCAAGACAGAGATCCCCTAGTCCCCAACCAGACACCATCTCTTAACCGGAGGTCGTTCAAGGAGGGTGCGGAGCTCTAGGCCCATCTGCCTTTGGAGAGAGCATCTCCCTGTTACATTTCTCCCATAGTGAAGTTCTGCTAGGGGAGAAGACAAGGACGGCAGGGCACCGCAGCCTTGGGCTCTGCCGCCTGGATTCTAACACATGGCTCTCGCCTCCCTCCTGCCAGGCTCCCATGTAAAGCAGGCTTTTGTTTCCTGTGGATACCTTTGGTTAATTATTTTTAAATAAATAATTATGTAGCCTGGGGGTAGGGGAGAAGTCTCCCCACGACCCATATTTGATTGTCTGAGGACTGGCCCTCTGTCTTCAGCCAAATTAAATAGGGGGAAGTGAGCGTCTGTTTGACTTGAGACCCAATCGATGATGGGGACAAGCTGGGAGGTGAAAACACGCCTGACTCCCAGCGTTATCACCACACTCTCAGGAGCAGAGCATCTTGGGGAGGTAAATAGCTGGCCAGGAAGTCAGAGGAAGTGGGAGAAAAGCAGGCTGAAGTCCATTTTCTCTGAAAGGAAAGAACAAGAGGGCAGGGGCCAGGTCTCCCTCCCAAGTTGCTTCCAGGACCAAGCATCAGTGATTACAGCAGAGTCGGTTTCTTTGGAATGATTCTCTGTGGGAAGGCAATTCCATTCAGGACTTAGAATCTACCCTCCATTGTCCAGAATTCTGGAGTCTTAGTACAAATATCTTGGAGTCCACACCTACACCAGCTCCCTCCCTGCAGGATCCCGAGCCGTGGGTGCTATTTATTTGACATTGTACGAGGCGTTTCCTAGATGTTACTTCTGATCCAGACCAGCCATATTAAGGAAGCGATCTCTTCACTTTACAAGAGGAAACTGAACCACAGAGAGAGAAGTGATTTCCCCAAGATCCCACATCCGTTAAGTGCAAAGTAAGGATTGAAACCCGAGTTTGTCCTGCTGCAGAGCACACGATCTTCCCATTAGCCCCTCTCGTTAGAAAACCCTTCCTTTTACTGATTTGAAATCTGCCTCCCCGCTTTTCCGGTGGACCCCGCGGCCTTCTGAGCTCACTTCTGATCTCTCTCCTCCTAGGTAAGCATCCTGCTGGGAACCCAGGGGCAGATATGAGCGGAGCCAAAGGACCTAATTTAACCCAGTGGGATGGAGTAGAGGGTAGTGGCGATGAGACCTAGGAACTGCAGATGGGTGCAGAGGAAGACAGACAGGACGGGGCAGGCAATGTTGGTTTGGAGACATGGAGGTCTTCCTTTACTCCTTTGAACTTCATGGCTCCTGTTCCCCCTAAAATATAGTGCCCCAGCCCTATAACTACTGAATTCCAGTGTTGTCCTGCTGCCGACACCACCCCATCAGCAGCCCCTTGAATCAAAGGAAACAACGCACAGAGGCCCACACACGGAACACGCATCAAACCACTCTGTAGCCCCACAAGCTGCTCTTGAAGGTTAGACTCCTGCCCCAGCATGTGTTTGCTTTCTCCCCACCCTTCTTAAGCTCTAGGTCATTTCAGCCTTGGGGAATGTCCTTCGAACAATCCAAGGAAAACTGGCTTGGGTCTCCTCTTGGCAAGCTCCGTCTTGGTGAATTACAGGCTACTGGTTATGGCAGCCCTGCCTGGCTCCCAGGGGGACTTCTGTAGCCTCCTCGAGCAGGTGGGGCTCCCCTGGGGGGCTGGAAGCAGGGCAGGGGGGTGTGTGGACGAACAGAACTTGGACGCTTGATGCAGTGATGTTTCATCCTGGGGAGCTGGGCAGAAGGAGAAGTGAAGGAGAAGTTGGCCCTCCGTGCCAAATGATTCCTTAGGCATTTGGTCTCTGTCTCTTGCAGGTAGGAACTGGGTCCCCTAAACCTTTCTGTCAAATCCAAGGCAGAAAATAAGAACACGGTCTTTCTCAGCTTTGAGCTTAGGGCAGGATGGCCCAGCTTCCCCCTCGGCTTTGTCTCTGGCTGTTTCATGGGCACATCAAACAGGACTTGAACTCTGCACACTGGACCCAGGTTCTCTTCCTCCTTCAGCTTCCTCCATTCGCCAGGTTTCTGTCCAGCACTGTCGCTTTCCTGAGCACAGACTCGCATTTTGGTTCCTGAGCGAGAGGGAGAGTCAGAGCAGCGAGGCTGTACATATGCTTGCTTCTCCCCTCCCTTGCAGACCAAACAGCAGTGGTCTACTGGGCATTCACTTCCTGCCCCACCTCCGGGCAGACACGCCTTCCCCTGGGCCCTGGAAGTCAGCCAAAAGGGACCCCACTGAAGGAATGAATTCCAGGACCAGAGTCCTAGCTACAGCCCTGGCTCCATCCTGCTCTGCTGGGGTCCCCTCGGTCACTGGGGCTTGGCCAGAATGGTGGTACACAGAATGATGCATTTTGTTGTGGCTCTTATGAGGGTCCCGGCTTCCCTGACAGCTCAGCTGGTAAAGAATCCACCTGCAGTTCAAGGGACTCCAGTATTGGGCTTCCCTTGTGGCTCAGCTGGTAAAGAATCTGCCCGCAATGCAGGAGACCTGGGTTCAATCCCTGGGTTGGGAAGATCTCCTGGAGAAGAAAAGGGCAACCCACTCCAGTATACTTGCTTGGAAAATTCCACAGATAGAGGAGCCCAGCAGGCTAGAGTCCGTGGAGTCGCAAAAGAATCAGAAACGACCTAGGAACTAAACAACAACAACCAAGAGAGTACAGCAAGGAACAAAACAATACAGATTAAAAACATGCTGCCCTCATGGAGCTTCCATTCCAGACTTCAAGCAGAGGCCGAGCAACCTCTGCCCTAGAGAACGACAGCTGATATGTCTCATAGACAGACAGGGGAAAGAAGGCAGTGTTTTCCCTCGTCGTCTACCCTAGAAAACAAGTGACCCCGGGTCGGGTGGCACTAATACTCCGCTGTTGGGTCTGCCTTCTTTTGCAGGAGTGCGCTACAGCCAGCAGGGAAGCAATGAGGTCACTTCCTCCTCAACAATCAGTCACCATGGCAACAGCGCCATGGTGACCAGCCAGTCGGTTTTACAGCAAGTCTCTCCAGCCAGCCTGGACCCGGGCCACAATCTCCTCTCACCTGATGGTAAAATGGTGAGTACACCTGGGCCATTGTAGCTCTGGAGCTGATAAGATAAGAGGCAAAACAAACACAACTTCTCACAAGGCCTGCCTGAAACAATGAACCATTGTAGCCCCACGGGGGAAAATGGGGGCCGTCCAGAGTTGGAACGGAAAGGTAGAGCCAGTGACCCAGCCTCCGGCGGGTGGAAGAGGTGTTCGGTTTGAACCCAGCCAATAAATCTGACAGAGCCCTGCTCTCATTTTATTGATTGAATGCCTCATAAAGGAGCAAGCCGGGTGGGACCCTGTTTGTTTTGGGGCTGCCAGTGACATTTAAGTTGATAAAATGTTCATTCATCCCCAACCACCCCCCAACCAACCCAGGGCCTCCAAAGCCAGATTTTTTAACCCAGAGAGCACCTCACTTTGAAACAAGCCCCCCCCCACCCCTTCTCTCCAGCACTCCCCTGATGCTGCCCAAGAGGGTGAGTGAAGTCCGGATTGAGTGGGTGGCGGGAGGTGGCGAAGCTTCTGGCCCTAGGGTTTGAAGGACCCTGGGTGGCAGTGAAGATCATAGCACAAAACGGTGGGTAGGGTGGGGCAGTGCTTATTGTGGGGGGGAGTGGGAAACACCGACTTTGAAGTTTGCAATGACTGGGTTCCAATCCCAGCTCCGGCACTTAATAGCCGTGTAGCCTTGGCCAGGTTCTAAGCTCTTTCTTTCTCGTCTATAAAACGTGGGTAATAACACTAGGGTTGTTGGCAGAACAAATGTGATAACATGAGAGGTACTCAGCACTGCGTTTGGGACGGTAAATATACAGTGAATGACAGCATGCTGGTTCTTAGGTGAATATCAGTATTATTTTCCCCTCAATGACGTGTCCTCTAGCAGTCACCACAGCCCACCCTCAGATGTCAGCTGAACACCCCGGTGAGGAATAGTCTAGTTGATGCTGAATTTTCAAGGTTCTAAGCCACAAGGGACAGCAGCGCGCCCTGGGGAGGGTGGCTCCGAGACAACATGAGCGTGATGACACGGGGAAGGGGAGGACGTGGAAAACTTGATTCTTCGGGTCATGCTCTGTGTCCCAGGGGAGGGAGGAGCTGCGGATTCCTGGCTTCCAAGCCCGAGGTGGAGCCCTGTAACCCTCAAGGTGTCTGACCCAGAGGCAGGTGGGGGCCGGGGTGGGGGGCGGGGCAGGGAGCCGATGCCGTTTTAGACCTTGACGTGTGCATCGTGTAGGCAACACCGGTATGGTGAGTCACAGGTGACTGAGTCCCCAGCTCCCTGGAGGAAAAACAAAGTGTAGTTTCCGAGGGGAGTGCCAACTCTAGTCTGGGGACCTGAACCCATGGCTTCCTGGTCCTAGGCTCTGCAACAGGAGACAAAAGATGCTCCCGTGGGAGGCATTTTGCAGCCCCCTCATCCCTTAAGCTGCTTTGGCTGCCTCGTGAGACCCAAGGATTGCCCAGACTTCTCTAGAGGAGACGGGGCGGGGGGCCTTGAGGAAGAGATCATGGCTTCCCAGTGGAGGACATCTGGAGGGAGACCTCTCCTGTTGCTTGAAGGCCCTTGGTGTTTCCCTGTGAGCCCTTCTTTCCTTCCTCCTGAGAAGCAAACGGCCTCACCCAGGCTGGGGCGCTCCACAGGCAGCCTCAGGACACGCTCCTTTCTTCCTCTTCTGCTCGACAGCGCCCTGATGGGCATCAACCAATCATCAGTTGGGTTGATGATTGACCAGGACAGCACACCTCACCGTTAGCAAACACCTGGAAGCTTGTTTGCAGCGACCAGCTCTTCACTAGTTTCCAACACCCTGGCTCGTATGTTATGTCACTATCGCTGGATGCCCAAATTCAGGAGTCTGTTTTTGGTTAATATGTAACAAGCCCATCACAAATCTTGGTCCACCAAAGACAGAAGTGGAGAGTATGGTTAAAAATAACCCCGGCAAGGGAACCAGTGTGCCCACGTCTTGGGCTGTGTTGTTTATCAGCCGAAGGATGGACGTTGCCTAATTTCAGTTTCCTCATCTGGAAAATGGGGGCTAACCATGCCTGCGTCACCAGGGTGATGCGAGGATCGCCTGTAATTCTGCTGTTTGGGGGGTGAGCCCCAGCCAGGGAATGATAGTCCCTGTGTGCTGACTTCAAGCAGAATGTGCATTTGAAGTCATCCCCCAGGGATTGGTTTTGGAAACAAGGGTGACCCATTTGAGCTTTCTTTTGCACTCCAGGGACCCCATCCCATTCCGGAGTGGTACACATCCGCAAAGCGCTGGCCAGCTTTCAGGTTGCAGTCTGTGCGTGTCGAACCTTGCGTTTTAGAAAAGCCCACGCTGGATGCTCTCACGGCATCAAAGCAACAGACCCCCATGGTGAAAAGCTCAGCCCGAGAGGCAGATCGCCCGCTCTTCATGGCCACTCTGCCACTTGCACACATTTCTTTATTTCTCCAAACTTCCGTTCCCTTGTCTGCAAAGGAGGGGTAACAGTATCAACTTCGTAGGCAGTAGGCATGTGAAGCACATGGCAAAGGACAGCAGAAGGCAACGCTGATGCCATCTAAACTCTCCAGATCACCCTGTGAGGATGGTGACTGATACTCTTGGCAGCTCTCTGTCTTCCATCAGTCCTGGAGGCAAAGTGGTGATGGTTGCATTTTATTCACTTTTTTAATCTTTTTTTTAATATGGATCATTTTTAAAGTTTTTATTGAATTTGTTACCTTATCAATTTTTTTTTTTTTGGCCTCAAGGCATGTGGGATCTTAGTTCCCCGACCAGGGATGGAACCTGCAACCCCTGCATTAGAAGGTTTAGTCTTAACCACTGGACCACCAAGGAAGTCCCAATGGTTGCATTTTAGAGTAGGAAGAAGCTTGACCAAGATGACCCAAATAGGAAGGAGATAGAATTTGGGGTTGAGCAAAACTCGGTTTGAATTCTTGCTTCCTTGCTTACTAGTCAGGTAACACAGAGCTACTCTCTCGACTCTTTTGAGGCTCAGTTTACTTAATCTGTGGCAGTGGTTTAGTTGCTCAGTCATGTCCAACTCTTGCCACACCATGGACCGTGGCCTGCCAGGCTCCTCCGTCCATGGGATTCTCCAGGCAAGAATACTGGAGTGGGTTGCCATTCCCTTCTCAGGGGATCTTCCCAACCCAGAGATTGAACCCTGGTCTCCTGCATTGCAGGCAGATTCTTTACAGACTGAGCCACACGGGAAGCCCTTCTTAATCTGTAAAACAGGGCAATAATCATAATGCCTTCCTATATGTGTCCTTATCTATTGAGGACAACCAGTGAAGCACTTTAGAAACCTTAAAGCTGGGGGCGGGGCACAGAGGCTCAAGAAGGAGTGGCTATATGAGTACTTACAGCTGAATCACGTTGTTGTGCAGCAGAAACCAACACACCATAGTAAAGCAATTATCCTCCAATTGAAAATAAAATTCTGCTTTACGTGAATGATTTAAAGAAAAGAAACACTAAAGCCATACACGCTTTAAGTTGTTTTTATTATTGGCACCCACTTTTCTCTTTCACCATTGAAACCAAACATTGAAATGGCAGAGATTACTGTCACTCCATTGACTTTCTGCAAAGGACTGCATTACTCAAGAGAGTCTGAAGGCAGGTCACTGATTTTTTTTTTTTTTAATGACTCTGACATTTTGAAAAACAAGTCCAGCAAACAAGCTGGTTCTCTCTTGTTTGATGTGGTCAGAATTCCTTCTTGGTCACGTGACCCCTAACTCACAACGTGATGCTCATTTTAAAAACACAAACAAATCTGTTTGGGTTTTTTTCTTTCTTTCTTTTTCAAATTCACTTGGGAAGCTATGGGATTGATCAGAAGGGCAGGCAGGAGATAGTGTCTTCCAGGGGTACTGGTGTGAGAGCTATAATCTGAGGAGCTCTGGGTCACAAGGAAAAGGCAACTCAAACATCTGATGTATGTATCCCAACCCTAAGCCACCTGTGAGCATTCCTGGTGCCATCAAGAATGTCTGGGTTAGTTCAGAGTGAGGGGGGAACAGTCCTTTCTTAGTAATTTTAAAATTATGTTAAAACCACAAAAAGTAAGCTACTTAATCATGAATAAAAGTATGTTGTGTGTATGTGTGTGTTGTGTGTGTGTAAAACTGAAAGTTCCTTATAATTCATGGGGAAATAGTGGAAGTGTTTCTAATAACATAGAATCAAATTAAGCATGTCTATTACATCTGTTACTGGTTAATACTATTCATAAAGTTCTAACCCATGCAATATGACACATAGACATATTACCACTAGCAAGGAGAGACCTTTTTAGCATTATATGCTTGTAATGCCATTATATATACACTTGGGAAAATGACAGTTATTAAGGAAAAGACAGTATTAGGAATAAATGAAAGGATTCAATCCTTAATAAAAGGAATCAGAGTGGCCTTGGATAAAATACACAAAACTCAGTAGCTTTCTCTTACTAATCTGTCATTAAAATATAATGAAACAGTGTGGGAGTACCTGGGACCAAGCCTTATTTAGTAGCTTTGTCATTACGATAGTGGCTCCTTGAAAGAAAAAAAAAAAAGGACGGGGGGTTGTTTGTTTGTTTTTAATGTATAGTAGAGATTTGTTTTTAATGTATAGTAGAGATTTGTTTTTAATGTATAGTAGAGATTTGGGAAAAGTAGAGAAGCCCAATAATGAATAATGACTGATCTCCCCCAGACAGACCTTAGTAATAATTGCAGGGAAAAAAGCCCTCTATAAAAAGTAAGAACTTGAATTTTAGAGTCAGACAGACCTAGGTTTGAATACCAGAGGTGTCATTTATTAGGTTGTTGGTTCTCAGGCAATATGCATGTATACTCTGAGCCTGTTTTTCATTCGTGAAATGGGAGTGACAGAAGCATCTGCCTCATGGGTATAGTGAGGTTTGTGAGTTAATACATGAGTAGTGTTTCCCAGATCCTCTACTCAGTGAAAGCTTCCATGCACTCTGGGCCCTAGACCTGGGCCCTAATCTGCTACACTTGGGAATCCCAGGGCATTTCTCCAGTTATTATTTGTAGCAATCACATATTTTTAGCACCAATCATATAGACAGCATAGAGCAGAACAGAGGATGCTTTTTTTCCCTTTTTTTATCCATTTTTAATTTTACTTTTTAAACTTTTTTATTTTACATTGAAGTACAGCCAGTTAACAATGTTGTAACAGTTTCAGGTGGATAGCAAAGGTGCTCAGCCATACATATCCATGTATCCATTCTCCCCCAAACTCCCCTCCCACCCAGACTGACCTATGACATTGAGCAGAGATCCCTGTGCTGCACGGTAGGACTTTGCTGGTTATCCATTTTAAATAGAGCAGTGTGTACATGTCCATCCCCAACTCCGTAACTGTCCCTTCCCAGCATCCTCCCCTCCTGAAAACCATAAGCTCATTCTCCAAATCTGTGAGTCTGTTTCCAGAACCATTTCCAACATGAACCAGTGACAATCATATCATACACGTGGGCTGAAGAATCTCTGAGGCAGGCTAGTGACTCAAAGGAAGTCAACAAAAATGCCCACGAGGGAAGGGATTATGGTCAATATTACTTACCTCTGTCTCCTCTGTATCTAGAACAGTGCCTGTCCCTCAGCTGGTGCTTCATAATTATTACTGAATGAATGCATGAATGCACCAGTGAGTTAGCTGTGCCAAGGAATTGCTAAGTGATGTCATTTTGGACACTGCTCTTCGCAACCTGGGTTCCACTCATGCCGCTCTTGTTTCTTCTCTCCAGCAGATCACAGTCTCGGGAGGAGGTTTGCCCCCTGTCAGCACCTTGACGAATATCCACAGCCTGTCCCACCACAATCCCCAGCAATCTCAAAACCTCATCATGACACCCCTCTCTGGAGTCATGGCCATTGCACAAAGTAAGCTCTGTTCTTGGTCAGAAAACTTGGGGGCCGGGAGGAGTGCTTTGGGAAATGAGTCAACCTGATTTAAAAAAACAAACACAGTAAAGAAGACATTCTTCCAACTCATCCACCACTTACAGATTTGATTCATCTCATTTCGTTCCTTATCTCTCTCTTCAAGATTTGGATTGTTCAGCCTAAAATTAGAGGAAATTAGGGAATGGAGTTGAATCTGGGTCATAGCTCGCCAGCGGTGTGTCTTGGGTCAAATCATTGCATCTTTATGAGGGTCAGTCTTCTCATCTGTAAAATGGGTTGTTGGGACAATCCAATGACTGGGTATGTAGACATGCTTGTACGTTGATAAAGTATGAATATGTATAATATTGTAGCTTATATTTTTGTCCAGTGTTCGTTCCTATCCCTGAGTATGTGTGGGTTTTCCAGGAGGTTGGGTTGTGCTGATTTTTCTTTGTATTGTTTGAGGTAGAGTAAGACATGAGGTAGAGTAAGACTTGATGAAAGTGAAAGAGGAGAGTGAAAAAGTTGGCTTAAAACTCAACATTCAGAAAACTAAGATCATGGCATCTGGTCCCATCATTTCATGGGAAATAGATGGGGAAACAGTGGAAGCAGTGTCAGACTTTATTTTTTGGGGATCCAAAATCACTTTAGATGGTGATTGCCGCCATGAAATTAAAAGACACTTACTCCTTTGAAGGAAAGTTATGACCAACCTAGATAGCATATTAAAAAGCAGAGACATTACTTTGCCAACAAAGGTCTGCCTGGTCAAGGCTATGGTTTTTCCAGTGGTCATGTATGGATGTGAGAGTTGGACTGTGAAGAAAGCTGGGCACCGAAAAATAGATGCTTTTGAACTGTGGTGTTGGAGAAGACTCTTGAGAGTCCCTTGGACTGGAAGGAGATCCAACCAGTCCATCCTAAAGGAGATCAGTCCTGGGTGTTCATTGGAAGGGCTGATGCTGAGGCTGAAACTCCAATACTTTGGCCACCTGATGCGAAGAGTTGACTCATTGGAAAAGACCCTGATGCTGGGAGGGATTGGGGGCAGGAGGAGAAGGGGACGACAGAGGATGAGATGGCTGGATGGCATCACCGACTCGATGGACATGAGTTTGAGTAAACTCCAGGAGTTGATGATGGACAGGGAGGCGTGGCGTGCTGCGATTCATGGGGTCTCAAAGAGTCGGACATGACTGAGCGACTGAACTAAACTGAACTGAAGACATGAGGGGCTCCCTTCTTTTTTTTTAAATATAAGATTTAGTAATTGATTGATCTTATTTTGGACATGCCCCCATGACATGGCATGTGGGATCTTAGTTCCCCAACTAGGGATTGAACCTGTAACCCCTGCAGTGGAAGTGCAGAGTCTTAACTACGGGACCACCTGGAAAGTCCATGGGCTTCCTTCTTAATGAGGAATTCTATATGGTCAAATGAGACCTCTTTGGCAGGTGGTGAAAACATACTGAGAAGGAACTCTGCAGGAAACTATCATAGCATCTCTGAGCCTTGACAGATTTAAAGAGAAATAGATTGTTTATGCCCAGGCCTGAAGATAGAGCAAGGCGTTAGGTCCTTCCCACCCTGGGGGCTCACCTCCCACAGCCAACCTGTCCCTATCTATCACAGATGGGCCCTTTCAGCACAAGAAGGCTGCCATGGGTGTGCCTGTGGGTGCCATTCTCAGAGTAATGATGTTGATGCATATTCAGTGTATTTTCTGCCTTTTGTTGACAGCTCAGGCTAAATCTTCCCTTTGATCCAGGAAGCATCCATGAGAGGTTTTGGGGGAGAGCTCTGGGAGGTATATTTCCCATCTTTCTTCTCCCCTGGGGATCAGCTGCTGTCTTCGTGGCCTCCCTGTGTCCAGCGCCCACATGAACCACTTATTAATTTGTTCCTGCCTTTTTCGCTTCTCTATCCACTCTCCCTAAACCTTATCTAGCCTCAGATCATTTCTGAATGGATGGACTTATGTGCTCCTTGAGGGCAAAACAGAGCCAGGCCCATAGGAGTCACCTGAATTTATTGAATGAGTACATTTGGCCCCCTCTCTGTCCTCAGCTGCTGGGAAACTGATACCCTCCCCACTTAGTTTTATAAAAGGAACCTTAAGAGGTCTCACAAAATAAAAAAGGTATTTTAAATTTGCTGCCTTTTCATGGGGCCGTCTCCAGGAATATGGTAACCAGGGTTTGAGAATGAGATCAGATTCCTGAAATCAGCTTGCTTGACTTCTAGGAGATTTTATTAAAAGGCCCATGGATAAGATATTGCATCTCTATTTCTACAACCAGAACTATACACAAACTGTCCCACTTACCATCTTTCTTTGCACCTCCAGCTTTGGCTGACACACGTGGTTCTATATTTTCTTAGGCACTATGTGAATTAAGATTTTCCCTGGAGCTGTTACACATTTTTTTTCATTTTGCTCCTCCTAATTTTTCGCACCTATAATTCTCTACCTTCTCACAATAATCTTATTCTCCTATTGCAGAGAGCCAATACCAGAGTGCACTGACCTTAGATGGGTGTGTGTGTGTGTGTACTTGGAGTGGGGAAAGCACGAAGCATGATGAGAGGGTCACCAGCAAACATTGTTGAGACACACAGTTCTACCCCAGGGAGTGTCAGGATGAAGAATTGGTTATGGAGTCCAAGCTTGTTCTGCTGTCTGCACCACAGGGCAGTAAATCGAGAGACGAGTTTTTGAGCAATAAATAGCCAACTCCTGTTCTGTTGAGTGTGGCTTCCCAGGTGGTGCTAGTGGTAAAGAGCCTGCCTGCCAATGCAAGAGACATGAGACAAGGGTTCGATCCCTGGGTTGGGAAGATGCCCTGGAGGAGGGCATGGCAACGCGCTCCAGTATTCTTGCCTGGAGAATCCCTTGGACAGAGGGGCCGGGTGGTGGGCTGCAGCCCATAGGGTCGCAAAGAATCAGACACGACTGAAGTGACTTAGCACGCACATCCTGTTGAGTATGTGGGCCCTGCTTGGTCACTGCAGAGGCCCAAGGAGAACATGATAACACACTCCCCAGCAGTGCCAATTCATCATTCCCTGCTCACCTGTTGGACTGGATAACATGCTTCTTAAGCAGGAACCAGTGCCCAGAAAACAGATGGGAAAGCCAAGAGTCACACTCCGCAGGAGCTCGAATGACATCAGTGGCTTTCCATCCTGGAACTGAGGCACATTAGGGGCACAGCCTGTGTTGAAAATAAAATTCCTGGGCCTCACCTCCAAAGGGTCTGACTCATTATGTCTTGGGTGGGGCCGAGGAATGTGTATTTCTTAAAGGGCTCCCCAGGACAACTCAAAAACAATAGGCTGGTTGCAGAACTAGGTCCTCCAATGTCATCCACTCTAGATGGCATCATTTGCTTTTCTAGGCAGAGACTTCCTGAAAAGAGCAGTGGCGATGGGCTTGGGGAGAAAACAGCAAATCCATGGGGCTCCCTTGGAGTCTGAGACCTCATGGGAAAGTTAGGAAACAGGAGATCAAGGTGTCAGGTGAGACAGCGCCTGGAGGAGAAGCTGAGCCCCTGGGGAGTAAGAGATAAGCTGTTCTGAGTGATCAGAGGACCCCTCCTTCCCAGCCCCACCCAGGAGAGCCAGGAGGGGGCTTATTCCCCTTCCCTTCTCTGCTCACCTTTTAGGTTTCTGATAACAGTATCAGCTAAAGCCCTGCACAGGCCATTGTTGAGGCCTCTGTGCTATCCCCACGGAGCATTTCCCCCTCCTGTGAACCTGCTTATGGAACCCTCTCCATCTCAGGAAAGGCTCTTAGGTGTGTTTTCCTGCATCTGCCTAGAAAAGAGATCTTTTTTCTGGGTTTCCATCTTCAGCTTGTTCTACCCCTCCCCCCACCATTTCCCAGAAAAAAGTGAAACAAAGTGGAGTCACTCAGTTGTGTCCAACTCTTTGCGACCCCATGGACTGTAGCCCACCAGGCTCTTCTGTCCATGGGATTTTCCAGGCAAGACTACTGGAGTGGGCTGCCATTTCCTTCTCCAGGGGATCTTCCCAACCCAGGGATCGAACCCGGGTCTCCCTCATTGCAGACAGGTTCTTTACCATCTGAGCCACCAGGAAAGCACCCCCCCCCCCCCCGCAACAAAATGAGGTCAAATCAAAGGAACCTTGGCAACGCCAAGAAAGAAGTTGGGAGTATCTTTCCCCTCATCCTCCCATCCCCAGCCCCACCCCACTTCAGCTACCTGCCCCAGAATCCCGCCCAGGGAGCCAATGGAGGGTGGGTACCAGGGACCTGATCTTGGCAGCACTGGCCCCAGTTCTAAAGAGACCTCAGGATACAGACACAATACAGAACCACAGAGGTCCCCATCCTCCAGAACAGAAAGATGGCAACACCTACTGTAACCACCAGCCTTCAACTTATTACTTCCTCCTTCCAGTAATGTGGTCCTTCCATTGCCACCAGCCCTGTGCTGCCAGATAAGACACACTCACTTCACAGACTGGCTGAGTCACAGTGTTTTATCCCCTCTCTGCTCTAGTTAAGAGAATGAGCATCTGACCTCTCTCAGGTCATTGCACAGCCGGCTGAAGGAGGGTCTTCAAGCTGCACACCTCTAGGACTGTGGAGGAGGTTTTGTTTTTTATCAAAACATGGGCCCCTGCACACTCCTGCCCCCTGCTGGACAGACATATCTGGGCGGTAATCTGTACCTTAGAGTGGACGCCTTTAACTCAGTCCTGAGTGCACCAGGGCAAGCCTCCCTCGGAGCCAGGCATGGATGAAGTGGGCAGATATGCTGCTGTGGTTGTTCAGTCGCTCAGTCGTGTCCGACCCTGCAGCCCCTTGGACTGCAGCACGCCAGGCTTAACTGTCCTTCACCGTCTCCCAGAGTTTGCCCAAGTTCATGTCCACTGAGTCAGTGATGCCATCCAACCATCTCATCTTCTGTCATCCCCTTCTCCTGCCTTCAGTCTTTCCCATCATGAAGGTCTTTTCCAGTGAGTGGGCAGACACAGAACACTGCAACCCCAAGGGGGCTAAGTTTGGGAGTTCAGAGGACAACTCTGGGGAACCTTCAGACCTCAGTCAGGTCTATTGAAACCCCATTTCCATCTACAGCTGTCTGTGGAATGTGGGCGAGTCACCTTATCTCTCTAAGCCTCAATTTTTCGGTCTATAAAATGGGTCTATAAAAATCACTTCCTGGGCAATCGCTTATGTAATGGTCTCAACCCAGTGCTGGCAAACAGCCGGGGCTCGGTTGCTGACCATTCAAGTCTGTTCGCCTTTGCTCACCCCTGAAGCCGTCTCTGATCCTTCCTCTCGTTCCCACAGGCCTCAACTCCTCCCAAGCTCAGAGCGTCCCCGTCATCAACAGCGTGGCCGGCAGCCTGGCAGCCCTGCAGCCCGTCCAGTTCTCCCAGCAGCTGCACAGCCCTCACCAGCAGCCCCTCATGCAGCAGAGCCCCGGCAGCCACATGGCCCAGCAGCCCTTCATGGCTGCGGTGACGCAGCTGCAGAACTCACACAGTAAGGCCCCGGGCACGTGGGGGAGGGAGCGCCAAGTGGCCTCAACAGCCAGTGGCTTCACTCTCTGGGTCTGAATCATCTTGGAAACTTCCTGATTTGGTCACTTTTCCCTACCTGTGATCAACCAAGACAATTTCTTTCTTTCATTTTTTAAAAAATGTGTTTGGCTGCACTGAGTCTTCGTTGCGGCACATGGGCCCTTCAATCTTCATTACAGTACATGGGATCTTTAATTGCAGTGTGTGGGGGGATCTAGTTCCCAGACCAGGGATTGAACATGGGACCCCTGCATTGGGAACACGGAGTCTTAGCCACTGGGTCACCTGGGAAGTCCCAAGACAATCTCTTAAGCACAACTCTTACTCGATGCTGTGCCTTTTCTGGTCCTCTTCTTAACCCCTGGAATTCCCAGGGGAGATTTTGCAGAGGACAGTTAAGGCTGATATGGGAAGAGAAGCTAGAGATAGCGATCTGGGGAGGTAAGGTAAATGTGGAACGAACCCATGCCCCCTTTCCCACCCTGGTTCCCATGAAAGAGATCCTCAGGCAAGCACACCCCTTTTCCCAACGAGCCTCAACTTAGCCTTTTCAGTCCAAAATTCCAGACAGCTGTTATCAGATGATCAGACTTGGCATATAACTTGCCTCCTAACTGTCTTCTCTGAATTTGAAAAATCTTCCGGAGTCCCCACACTCTCCGATTTCCACACCCCAAACATGTCTAATCGAGAACCATCAACATGGGTGGAAAAAACCTCCTGTACACGGAACATTAGAGTTTCTGCCCCACACAAAGAGACTGCTTCCCACTCCCGATGTTTTCACCTCCCCTAAGATTACCTTTCAACCATTTAGCTTTGGGGGTGCTTTTGCCATACTGAGCAGCATGTGAGATCTTAGTTCCCCAACCCGGGATCGATCTTGTGCCCCCTACCTTGGAAACATAAGATCTTAACCATTGGACCCCCTGGGAAGTCCCCTTTTCAACCATTTACTTCCCACCCACCCCTAGCCCCCATTTCTCCCCTCCTGAGCCCCAGAGCCCCAGCCCTCTGGCTATGTCAGGCTATAGGCCCTTGCCTCCAAGTCTGGGGAGAGAGGATGGGGAGGATGGTTTTCTGTCTTCCAGCACAACCCCATGGACACACCTGGGCTGCCTCTGGAATAGAGCAATAGTCTTGCATCAGACAGGCCTAGGTTTAAATCCTGGCCCTGAGCCTTAGCAGCTATGTAGCCGGTGGTAATTTCCTCAGCCACTCTCAACTTCAGTTTTTTCATCTTAAAATGGAAATAGTGTGCATGTGGAGTCACTATGAAAGTGAAACAAAAGTAGGTATGAACTGTGTTTGGTAAGCATTAAGAGTTATTAAAATGTGGACTTCCCTGGTGGCCCAGTGGTTAAGACTTCATGCTTTCAGTGCAAGGGGCGTGGGTTTGATCCCTGGTAGGGAAACTAAGATCCCACATGCCATGTGGCCAAAAAATTTTAAAAATAAATATTTAAAAAGAGTTATAAAAATGCAAATAGTTATTTATTAAGGGTGTCTAATAGGAGGAGGCAGTGGTAGGAAAGAGGATTTCAGTTTCTCCTCTGGCTGCGAGTCTGAGGGGCAGCGGCTAAGTTCATCCTCCTTCTACACTCGGGGCTCCATCCCGCCCCAGGCCTGCAGAGCTGGTTTCTGCCTACCATCTCACATTCCGATCACATTTTCGTGGCTTTTAAAAAATCTGCTACAGCCTGCAGCAGAGCCTGGGACCACATGTGTTACACTGTCCCTCCTTCCCGGTCCTAACTGTGCTTCCCCCGCCTCACCTGGGCAGGATTCCTCAGCGGCGAGGCTTGGGTGGGACAGTCAGAGAGGGGTCACCAGCGACCTGTGGACTGCCGAGGCCCCGCTGTTCTGGCTGGCTCTGAAGAGAGAGCTCGTGGGGCCCCAGACCAGGAAATAACCAGCCTCCCACCAGGGGAAGGACAGGCTGAGATGGCAGGCTGTGACCTTCACCCCCATTCCCTACTGGAGGACTCCTTGGTAGAACAAGCTAGTCCCTCCCTCAAGGCCAAACATCCACATGCTTTCTGGGCTGGTCATGTGACCTGGAATTTACATGAATCTTATGGATGAACTAGCATGAGTCAAAGGTTCCAGATCTGGTGGACTCATACTGGAAAAACAAAAAGTGAAAACCACATGCTTCTGGAGCTTTTATTGGAATCTAGGCTCAGGGAGCTTCCCTGATGGTTCAGACGGTAAAGAATCTGCCTGCAATGTAGGAGATATGGGTTCAATCCCTGGGTCAGGAAGATCCCCTGGAGAAGGGAATGGCAACCCACTCCAGTATAGAGAATCCAATGGACAGGGAAGCCTAGAGGGCTACAGTCCGTAGGGTCATAGTTGGACACGACTGAGCTTTTGTCCATCGTACTTCATTTGTGTGATGTCATAAGGTATTTTAGTGCAAACTGGGACAGCCCAAAATCATAGAAGTAATGACACCCATGTCTACTTAACAATTATTAATCAATCTATAATTCCTAGCATGAGACCTGGGACTTGAGTCACTGCAGAAATAGTAAGCAAACAGGCCAGCTCCTTCATTTTGCCAGCTCCTAAGAACTTTTTCATACTTAAATTCTCAGCTGCACCACATATGCCCCAGGATCAGTTGTGTTTTGTGGTTTTGTTTGTTTGTTTGTTTTTGAATATTTATTTATTTATTTGGCTGTGCCGATCTTAGTTGCAGCATGTGGGATCTAGTTCCCTGACCAGGGATCGAACCCTAGCCCCATGCATTGGGAGCATGGAGTCTTAGTCACTGAACCACCAGGAAAGTCCCAGGATTACTTGCTGTAACCAGGCATCCAGTACTTTGAAAGTCAGGGGGGAAAGAAGTGCTCCCACCACAGAAGCACTGTCCTCCTCTATATACCAGGCACTGTGGAAACCTATTTATCTATTTGGTAAAGTGTTTTAAACATGATCTCTTTTAATCCTACAACAGGTATCATTCCCATTTTACAGAGGAGGAAACTGAGGCTAACCGAGTTGATTAAGGAGCCAGGATTTAAACACATGGCCATTCTTTTTGATCAGATCACACTGCCTTGCCCAAACATAACTACCGCCCACTGCCACCCCCTTTTATCTGCCTGGGGAGAAAGGAACAGTAGTGTGGGATGAGGGATGGCCTGTAGCTGTGCTTACAGTCTTGCTCCTTGATCTTGTCTTCACTGTCTCTGCAGTGTACACACACAAACAGGAGCCTCCCCAGTATTCCCACACCTCCCGGTTTCCATCTGCGATGGTGGTCACGGATACCAGCAGCATCAGTACGCTCACCAGCATGTCTTCCAGTAAACAGGTAATGCCGGCAAGAAGGTAGGGGTGGGGAAGGGATGACTATGACTACTGATGTGCAGAGAGCGTGACGAGTGTGGACTCAGCCTCAGTGTGGTCCTTCTGAGGCTCCCCTGGTACTTTCTAAAAGAATCCCTGAGGTCACAAGGCAAAGAAGATGGGCCACAGGCTGAAGGGGCTTATTGCTCCCCTAGCATCCCTAACAAGAGCACAAGAGTAGCGAGTGCAATCAGCTGCTGGAGACTGGATTATACAGAGCCTGTAGGCACTGAGGTTGAGGATCCCCAATGGATTGGTCATGATCCATGGACAGGGTGTTTCCGAGGAGGACTCAGAAAGTCAGACCCTCTGGAGTCTCATGCTTTGCAAGAGGGATCCCTGAGGATTTCCCATCAGTTAACGAATAGAGAAAACGAACAGTGAGTCAGAGGTCCCGAGTCTGATTCACCCAGTTCAGAACTCATCCTGAACCCCCAGTGCTGTAAGCTCCAGAAAATGACCCAATTCTGCCAACCCACGGGGACTCCCCAGTAGACAGCCTAGCCTTACCAGGGGCCTGTGTTCACTTGGTGTTGTATAGAGAAGCTCAGAGTCAGCTTCCTGGTGCATTGAAAGTGGGGAATCCAGAGGCTTAGTCACCATTTCAGTTGATGACTAATTCCCACCTCCACATACCTAGAGGGAGGGGATGAGGGTTAAGATGACCTATGGTGAAGCCACAGCTTGGGCAGCTGGACTCAAACGAGACGCTGAGAGTTAGGAAACAGGACAAGACGTCTGAACACACACAGGTCGCAATTCCAGAGTAACACAATAGGACCTTTTAGTAGCTGGGGCCTGTGCAGTGTGGGAACTGTTTGGCCTTTATTGATCACTAGATAAGTAGGTGACAACCTTGAACTTCATGTCAGAGGCTCTCGGCAGCATTTGGTCCTGTGGATGGTATTTTTTTTTTTCCCCATCAAATCACACTTCATCCAATGCCATGTGCTCCTGAGCAAGTTCTTTCATGGGCTTAGCCTTCTCTGTTCTTCCTTTGCCCCCATTTCTTCCTGGTCCTGCAGTGTCATGAAATAGGTGGATTTAGTTCCTGGCTTTGCCACTTGGTCGGTGACCTTGACCTCCCTGAGCCTTCGCTTTCCTCTCTAAAACAAGTTGTGGCATCTACTTGTTCTGCGGATTTGATGCTGCTGTGTAGATTAAGTGCCTGGCACATCTTGGGTGCTGAAACACACATGACCTAGTCCTTCGGGCTGTAGAATGAGGTGGGGCAGGGAGGGAGAGGTGTGTGAGACCCACTTTGCTACCCTTCTCTCACCCACTGGAAGATGAAAGGACAGCCCCTGTTGCCCTGCCCTTCGACTCCCATGCGATTTCCCACTCTTTGTAGTGAGCAGGGAAAACATTTATCTGTGCTCACCAATCTCAATCAGGGGGGCAGCCAGGCGCAGCAGCCCTGCTTGGGAATACCTTCCCCTTTGAAAGGTTTATCAATCCATCTGCCGCTTGGGCAGCCCTGGACGGGGCTGTGATTAATGATTCCTGTCTTTCCCAAGTTGACTTTGATGCTTACTTGTTGAAACAAGTCCTCTGCACTCAGGAAGTGGCCTCTTAATCAAAACGCTTCGAGATGCTCTCTGAGATGCTGTACCAGCCCCCATACGGGACCAACTGGCCAGCCAACCTTGATGCCACATGAACGACCCTCTAGAACTACTGTGAAGTCATCTCGAAACCCCCAGACATGTCAGGAGTCTGACGATAGACTCACAGTTCTATAGGGTGATGACAATGGCATTCAGTAAGGCTAACACTCTTCATGTAGCGCTGTCTGGTTTATGCTTCTCGTGAACATTATCTTGTTGTTTTCTTTTTGCCAAAACCTCCTAAGAAGTACAAAGAAATAAACCAAGGCTCAGAGATGCAGGGTAACCTGCCCAAAGTCACAAGAGATAATATGCTGGGACTGAGCTTCCAGACTTTTGGCCTTAGATTCTAAATCCCGGACTTTTCCCACTTAAACAGTGTTCGTCTTCCAATACCGATCTTCCTTTATTTTTCACTGCACTGGGTCTTCATTGCTGTGCGCAGGCTTTCTCTAGTTGCAGCGAGCAGGGACTGCTCTTCCTTACGGTACAGAGGCTTCTCGTTGAGGTGGCTTCTCTAGTTGCAGAACATGGGCTCTAGGGCTCTTGGGCTCCGTAATTGAGGCGCAGGGACCTAGTTGAGCCAAGGCTTGTGGGACCTTATTTCCCAGACCAGTAATCAACCCTGTGGCCCCTGAATTGGCAGGCGGATTCTTAACCACTGGACCGCCGAGGAAGTCCTGGCAATACCAGTCTTTAAAATGCCCGTGGTAATCGCTGCTCTTGTGGTATGTAACAGTCAGGACCAAGAGTGAAAATTAAACCTACATAACTATATTCCAGTCAGGAAACTTTCTTGCTTCAAACAGCAGGAAAAGAGAGGCTAGGAAAGACGGAATGAAATGAGGAGGGTGAAGACGCTGCCTCCTGGCAGCAGGAGGAACCCAAGGTGAGGAAAAGTTTTCAGGCTCTGTTCTGAAGGTAAAGGGTCAGAAGTGAGTTTCAGAAGGGAATTGGTGGCAGTTCTGCTTTTTTGTTGTTTGAAAGTGTTCTTTTCCAAAAAGAATTTCAAGACTATTGATAGGAATCAGGGGCCCATGACGTAAGGAGAGGAAGATTCCTTGGCCAAATGTGTTGGGAGAACAGCTGGGTTTAACAGAAACCCCACAGGACAGGGCTTCTCAGAATCTCTCCTGTGCCAATGTGGGCATTGAACCGGGACCCATCCCGGGCAGGGCTGCTTTAGAGGCATCATAGAATGCTAGGAAAAGCCAACGGGTCTGAGCCAATCCTGGCTCCTTCACACCTGCTCCGTGACCTCGGGCAGTTAATTCAGGGCTGTGAGTCTGTTTCTTCATCTCTGAAGGGGAAGCTCCCCCCTCCCTCATACAGAATATTCAAAGTGCCTGAAGATCATGCCTGGTACTGAGTCATGTGCTCGAAGTGACAGCTTCCTCCCTCTTCCTACCCGTTTCTGTCTGTAATCCCTTAGAAGGCACCTTCCATTAGCTCCTTCAGTATTGAACTCACTGCTTGGTCTGCACATGGTCAAAGGAGGTTCTGACAATAATATATCTCAGGGTTAGGACCATCTCTCTGGCACATCCTGCCTCCTGGGCCGGGGCTCCAGATCCCTGCTTCCCACTCTCCTGCTGCACAAGGTTGCCCTTTCACCCACCTCCCAGGAAAAAAAAGCCAATAGTTCAGGGCCTTTCAAAGCACCCAAGCCCTTCGTGTATGGCCAAATGCCTGGGCTTTAGTAGATGTTCAGTAAATATGAATGAGTGAGTGAATGAATGAGTGAATGAATGAATGAATTCAAATCTAGCATTTTTTTTTAGTACTTCCCATTTGCCATGTAGCACTCCAGGTGCTTTTCCATCTTACCTTTCCTGGCTAAGCCTCCTGCAAGGTAGAAATTTTTATGCCTAATTTACAGAGCCAAAAATGGAGGTTCAAAGATGGGGCGGAATCTGACTAAGCATACAGGATGGTAAATCTGGAGCTAGAGTTCCAGTCTTTGGTTCTTCTCACTCCAAATCCACTCAACAACACTCACCTTCTAAGATCCATTTTTAAAGTGCTCATAAAAATGACTCAAGGTTATGCTGACCTGAGGGTAAAGCCAGGATTTGACCTTGTCTCTCAGTGTTTTCCATCGTCAAGACAGGCATGCCGCAAGACCTTGTGGATCATGTTTCAGAAACCTCAGGTTGGAACTTTCTTGCTGGGAACCCTTGGCAGCTACTGCCCTCTGTCCTTTCCAGAGCCTGTCTCCCGCCCCCACCCCCACCCCCAATGAGTCCTGGCGAGTTACCATCTGAGTGGGTCTCTGCCTGAGCCTCCTGCAAAAACAGCAGCCCTCCAGCCTGGAAACCAGACCACAGCAAGCACCAGCCTTGGCTAGAACAAGTGTGGGCAGGCTGTGAGCAGACTCCTGTTTCCACAACTCTACCCACCGCTCCACTTCCTAGTTTATATAGAGAGAGGTCAGGAGAGGACCACCCCCTCACCCCACCCTCTGCCCAGAGCAGTCACCCATCAGGGGTGCTGATGGTAAGGAGGTGGGCAGCTTCATCATGAGTCCCCTGAAGCTGCACCCACCCTGCCACCCCCTCCTGCCCCTTCCCCACCCACTCCCGACCTTCCCCACTGGTGTGAGGCAGTGTGGGCTTGATGGTCACGAGTCACTGTGGGAATTAGACAGACCCCGTCCCCAGCTTCTGCCACTTTCTACCCATGTGACCAAAGGCGAAGGTCCAGCCTCTCTGAACTTCAGTTTCCTTACCTGTAATATGAAGATAACGATTCCTCCTTTGTGGGATCATTGAAAGGGCAAAATGCAATAAAACTTGTAAAACACTCAGCTCAGTGCTTGGCTGGGAACACCTAGTCTGTGGCAGCTGGGTCAACCTCGGCTTTCCCTAGGGTAACCTTGGGTGTCTTTCGAGCTTAGGAAGGAGGATTTTAAATGGCAAAGGGCATTTATTTCCCCCTGGTGTCCCACTCAGAAGATAAAAGGCAGTAATCTTACATAGTGGGTTTTCTGTTGAGACATCCTGGGCAAGTCACTTAAAAATCTCTCTAAGCCTCAGTTCCCTAATCTAAAACACTGGAAGTATAGTCATTACTTGTAATGAACAGAACTATCATTAATCTAACTTAATAGATTTTAATAATCATCTGTATTCACTGTCTCCACTTCCTCACCCCAAATTCTTCTCATTTTTATTGAGGTATAGTTGCTTTATTCTCAGAGTTTCAACATAGCAATTCACAATTTTTAAAGGTTGTACTTCATTTATAGTTATTATAAAATATTGGCTGTATTCCAGTATCCATGCTGCACATTAGATCCTTGTGGGTTATTTATTTTATTCATAGTAGTTTGTACCTCTTAATCTCCTCTCTTGTCCCACCCCTCTTCCCTCTCCCCACTGGTAACCACTGGTCTATTCTCCATATCTGTGAGTTTGTCTCTTTTTTATTATATTCACTAGTTTGTTGTATTTTTTAGATTCCACATGTGGTGACACCATACAGTATTTGTCTTTCACTGTCTGACTTATTTCACTAAAACATGATGCCCTCCATATCCATCTATGTTGTTGCAAATGGTGAAATTTCATTCTTTTTTATGGCTGCATAGTATTCTATTGTATATACCCAGGGTGGGGGGCTGGTGTACAGAGACCTGTACACCCCCACAGTTCTCTCTTAAGCATTCCAGGCTGGCTTTTGTCCCCACATTCCTGAAACCCCTCTTGTCCAGCTCATTAATATCTCCACATTGCCAGATCCAGCGTCTTCTCAATCTCTATCTTTGACATAGCCAATCACTTCCTCTTTTTCTCTCTTGAGTCTTAGGACATTACCCATTCCTGGTTCTCCTCCTGTGGCACTGGCCACTCCTCATTTCCTTGGCTGCCAGCTCATCTTTGCAACATTTACCAGTTGAGGGGCCTTGGGACTCATTCTTTGGCCTCTTCTCCTCCATGTTTATTCCTGGGTGATCTCCAGTCCCATGACTTTGGATCAGATGTACACGACCATGGGTCTTATCATTCTGTCTCCAGTACTGACCTCTCCCTTCAGGGCGGATTCACAAACCCAGTGCCTCTTTGGCATGTACAGGTGCACGCCTAATATACCTTACCAGCATCTCAGATCGAATCTGCCTAACACAGCAGCTCTACATTTTGCCCCAGTTTCTCCTGACCCAAATTGCTTTCTGCTTGGACTTGTCCATTTCCAAAAATGCCATCTGTTGTTCAGGTGAGACTCCTGAGAGTACCCACAATCATTTCACACCCCGCATCCCACGTCCCGTCCATCAACAAGTTCTGCTAAGGCTCCTTTAAAATGCATCCTCCATCTGACTGCTTCTCACCCACCCCATTAGTCTTATGCTCCTGCAGGAACTCCCCATTCCTGCCCCACAGGGATGGGTGTGCTCTGTTCTCCACTCAGAAGCCAGAGTGGTCTCTGAGAAAGGAAAACCCATCATGTCACCCCCCGACCCCCGCCCCTGTCAAAAGTCTCCACTAGCTTCTGGTTGTAACCAGACTGAAGCAGAGACTTCCAAGACCCTATGTGGTCAGACTGAAGCCTCTCCTTCCTCTGTCCCTCGGCTTCAGCCAAACCAGAGCTGAAGGGCTCCCACCACAGGACTTCTGCTCCTGCGGTACCTTCTGCTGGAATATACTTTAGTGTGCATCTTTCATGTGCTTGTTACATTCAGCTCAAATCTCAAAGAGTGGGGGAATCACCTCCCGACCCCCCCTACATAATTTCTTCCCTCTTTCCTCTAGTCTTTGTGACCTTTTACCTTGCTTATTTTTCGAGAGTGTTCATCTCCTCCTAAACTTTTATGTTATGCATTTCTTAACTCATTCATTGTTCAAAACTCTCACTAAAATGTCAGCTCAGTGGGGGTGGGGACAGAGTCCTGTTCACAGCTGCATGCCCAGCGCCTGCGAAAGTGCTGAGCGCAGGGAAGGCCCACAAAACCGTGTTAAATGAATGAATGACAATTACCTGCCTCAAAGGCATGATGTGAGAATGCTGTGGAATGATGCATGTCAAGGCGTTCCTTAGCAATGAAGCCTGACACACAGTAAGGCCTTGGTAAATGTCAGCTCTTCCCATTACGGATCAGATCTTCTTAGGGTGAGGACGTCCTTAAGAATCCTCCAGCCGCCCCACCCTCTGGACGGAGGGCTCTGTAGTCACTCAAGAACCCCCAGGCAGGGTCCCCACGGGGCTGGCTGAGCCGGGCCTCTGTTCTGAGGGAGCCCAGCGCGCCCCTTATCAGATGTTTGTGTTTAGACTCTGAAGGGGGCAAATAACTCTAGTTCCTTTGACAACATTTAGGGCTCTGCCACCATTTTATTATGTGAGCAAACATTTGATAGCTGGGAAGCCCATCCCTAATGACAGGTCATAGAATCTCGCTGGCGTCTGCTTATCTGTTCTTGGTGTTTGCTCTTCCATTGAAACCTGTAAGGTCACAAGCCGTTTTCTCTCTCCTCCACCTGAAATCTGAAAATTGGAAAAAGCTTGATAGTGAGGAATAAAGAGACTGGAGAGAGCAGGGGTGGGTAGAGGGAGGAAGAGGAGGCAAAGAATATCAGAGGACCCTGTGCAGGGGCTCAAGAATGCAGAAGGGCCAGAAACCTGTCTCTGCACATGGACGCAGCACTCAGCCCCACTCTGAGGAGTACTGGGGGAGTCGGGGGGTGGGGTGGGGGACGGGGAGCAGCTCAGACCGGGGCACCCCAGGCAGCTTAACAAGGACAGTTGTACCAGCACCATGGGGAGGACGGCATGACTAGAAGCCCATCTAATCCTTCAACCACCTTCATTATAAAGGTGGGGAAACCAAGGCCCAGAGAAAGGACTTTGGACAAAAGCAAAGCTCATAGGGACTTTTCCCTGGAGGTCCAGTGGCTAAGACTCCACACCCCAAGGCCAGGCGCCCGGGTTTATCCCTGGTCAGGGAACTAGATCCCACATGCTGCAACTAAGAGTTCGCATGCCGTAGCTAAGACCTGGTGCAGCCAAATAAATAAATAAATATTAAAAAAAAAAAAAGAACAACAAAGCTAATAGAAGGCTCTTAACCTCGGTGTAATGTAAAGAACACCAGCTGGGAGGTCTCCCAGAATTGGTTTGAAACTCTGGCCCCACACTCTCCTAATTCCAAAACCTTGGGCAATTCCTGGACTCTCTTTGACCTTGCTTTCCTAATCTGTAAAACGGACATAATAGCAGTCCCATACAAGGCTATGGCTGGGAGAACTGGTTAATGGGATAATAGTGGGATAAGAGGCCTTTAACAGTGTGATAGATACGTGAACGTGTTGTGTGTGTGTGTGTCTGTGTGTGAAGTGGGGAGTGACTGAGGCGGGGAGTCTTGAGAAAATGAACTGTTAAGTCAAAGTGCAGAACCTTCCTCTGAGGTGACAAGAAAGGGGAAAGGGAAGAAAGAGAAGCAAAGCGGGGGGAAAAGGGACTCCCCAGAAGGAAAACGCGAGCTCTAATCTTCCATGATAGTTGAGATGAGCAAGGCCCGTGGCTCTGGGAGTGGAGGCTGCCCCACATGGGGGTCTGGCTCTTCTCAGGGACTCCTCCATGCTGGCTCTCCTGCCCCAACCCACCCAGAAGCCTGGTCTCAAAGGCCTTTAGCCCTTGGATCCCAGTCCTCTGATTTCTTGTCTTGCTAGTAGCAAGCATTATAGAAAGCACTTTGCAAATTCCCACACTTCTTCCGGGTGGAGTGTTAGTACGTGGTGGTTTTCTCTTGTGCTCTGTGACCTTGGGGCTGATCATAGACCGGCAGCATCAGCCCAGCCTGGGAGTTGATTAGAAATGCAGGTTCTTAGGCCCAACCCCTGCCCGCTGAGTCAGAATCTACCTTTTAACAGGATCTCTGCTACTCCATTTGGGAAGGGATCTGGGGGACCCCTGCTCTTAGAGGTCTTAGGAAGAAACCCTTACTTCCTTCAAAAGCAAAAGCTCCCCATCCAGCTGTCATTGCCACCAAACTGAGCAATTTATAAAAAGCACTCTCACAGGAAGAGGAGTCCCATTTCAGGATAAAGGTCGGCAAGTTATGACTATTTCAAGGCCATTGGCAATTCACTTCTCTCTTGTGAGGTGGCCAAGGAATCCAGCTCCTACATGTTCCTAAAGGGTGTATGTTTCAGAACCAGCCCTGCAGGACTCTGAGGGCACGGGGTCCCCACACCTCCAGCCTCCAGCTCTTTGCTGGTTGAGTTGGGTCTCAGCTCCCCCAGACAAGCCAGACGCTAGGGGCCTAGGTCCCTGCCAGAGGCACACAGCTGAGCTGTCTCTCCTCTCTCTCTGCAGTGTCCTCTCCAAGCCTGGTGATGCCCACACATCACTTACTTTGTGCACAACGACAAGGACCCTTCTTTTCCACACCATCACCCTCCGGGCAGCTGTCACGGAAAAGCGCAGCGACCCGACATGCAGCATCTGCAAGAGGTCCCTGCTCACCTGCTGTCCTGCCGGCGCCTCGGACGCTCGCTCTGAGAGGCGCAGCCCCTTCTATGCAGTATTGTCACGATGCCTCTCCCAAGAAGTCTGGTCTGTCCTAGAGGCAGGAGACACAGAAGCGGCGGAAGAGGAAGAGAGAAAGCCGTAGCGTCTGCATCACTCTCTTTCATCGAACAAACTGAAGTGAAAACTTGAATCTGTTACTGAAATGAGAAGAGGAGGACACGTGCTATTGAACTGAGCCAAACACACTGTAAATATCAGCCACCTCCCCCTGTCCCGCCCCCGCAATCCCGGCTGATCTGGAGATTTCTTTTAAAGAAGTAAATTTGTCCAATGGGTGTAAACTATAAACTACTGTAATTAAGTGCAATTTCCACCCTCTACTTCCTCTCCCCTCTGCCCTGAATATAATACTAAAGCGTCTATCGATTTTCTCTGTAAAGGTCAGAGTTGAATTCTCAAAGTGATTTGCCCCCTCTCTCGTCCCCCACGGAGAAATACCTAAGGCAGAAGTGAAGCCCTTGACCCACTTCCTCGGCCCTGGACACACACAGAGACTGTATTTTGGACTGACTGCCAGCTCACTCTGATCTCGATACCAAGACACACCTCTGGGTCCCTGGAAGGGCTGAACAGAGTGTCAGAGTAGTATCTTAGCTTCCGGAAGAGTTGGGGGACCAGCCAGGACAGCCCCAGGAAACCCCAAGGCTGGCTGTTTGATAGCACAAAAAAAAGTTGCCCTTTCAGAAAACTTCCCATTAAAACAATTTATTTTATCATGGCCCAGAGTCTCGTATTTCTACCTCTGATGCTTTCCCTGCCTTGGTTTCTCCAAGAATCCCTGGCCCCTTGTCTTCTTGGAATTTTCCACTTACTCCATGGGGCTCGCTGCTGCATGTCCCATTGTCTTCAGGCCAGCCTTATTGCTGGGGTAAGAAAAGTTTTTTCCCCCAGTCGGACTCCAATACTTTGTCTTTCTGTGACTCATCGGAGTAGACATGGAGCCAGCTCTCGGTGACTGCTGGTCACAGGAACAGAGGAAAAAGTAGGAAGTGTGGAATCACCATGGGTAACATTGTCAACTTCACTTTAAGCATGAGCTCCAACCTTTCTTCCCTCCCATAGGGCTGTTAGTCAGGAGAATGGCTTCTGTGGGTATCACCTCCTGCCTGGGTAATTGCCTCCAGTGAGGATGCTAATGAAGACAAACAGTCCAAAAGGTGAAAAGCCAGAGGACTAAACACTCTCCAGCAGGGGCTTTGCCACAAATAATCCCGCGTTGACTCTAGGAAGAAGGAGGCTGGACCTTTCCTCCTTGCCGTCTCCAGCACAGACCTACCAGCCTGTGGTTTCTGGCTTCTAGACAGACCAGTTCCCAAGCTGGCTATAAGTGAGGACATCATGCTGAAGCAACAGGTTTTTCAAAATCTCAAAGTAGTAGAAGATGCAGTTCTTAGTGAGCCAGGCAAAGGTACTGAGAGCCCAGGGCAGGGATGGAGAGTGTTAGAAATGCTGACCTCTTTTGGCTCCTGGCTCCCCTCCAGACAATGTTATCTGGGCTAAAGTGGTCAAGAGAAAATTCATGGATGGGGTGAAAAGGGCTGGGGCCAAAGCCGAGCACCTTGTGTCAAGAGAGGCCAGGATTTGCTGACTCTGGTAGAGATGTCTTATTGGTTGGCTCCTGTGAGTTCAGGAAGAGGAAGGGAATATAGGTCTTGCACTCCAGCCTCGTGGACTGGAGCTTGAATTCATGTTGTTTCTGGAGCAGTAAGTATCTACATTTGATAGATTTTATATCTTGTGTTATTGTAATAATCCTGAAGACCCAGGGGATCTTAATCACTCAAGAAGCCATCTGTGAATGTAGAGGACTTAGGGAGGGGCGGAAATCGCTAGGAATTTTTCTTAACTAGACCCTATGTGGACCAATACTCATACAAGGTGACTCTGGTAGCTGAGAGCACCTCCCTCCTAAATCAAATCTCTCTTCTCACTGACTCTAAGAGGGGCAAGGAGGCCCACTGTGCATGGATGCAGGTGGGCATTACCCACTCCAAAGATTCATCTGCAACTAAAGGCCCCCATACCTTCTTCCCTTATGGACCAGTCCCTTGGGAATTCCTACCCCCAGCAACAGGTTTTTCAAAATCCCGGTGTAATGGGAGATGCAGTTCTTAGTGATGCAGGAGTCTCAAATGCTGTCTCAACCAGAGACAGCAAATCTTGGCCCCTTTTGACACATGGTACTTGGCCTTGGCCCCAACCCTTTTCAACTCAACCATGCATTTTCTCTTGAATGCTTTAGCCTCAATAATATTGTCTGGGGGAGCCAGGAGCCAAAAGATCAGTTCTTTATGGACTGACATTTCCAGAAGTTCTCTTTACACCCTGAGCTCAGGCTAATAGACAATTCTGTTTTCACCATGACCTGCTGTGGTTTCTTGGGTGAGCTCTGGGGAAGGCAGATTTAATTTTCACATTGTGGATAAGAAATGAAATCAGTCATAGAAACCTGCCTTAAAGTGGATTTGAATTGTCCACGCCAAACAGTGAATTGTTCATCCCAAAGGCAGAGAGAACTGGAGTGTTAACTACTGGATTCAGGTGGATAAGAACAGTGTAGACAGCCAGGGAATCTGAGCTCTTGGGTTGGGGGAAAGGTCTTTGATGTTCTTTTTGGAGCCAGAATGCCTTGATTAGAATCTCCAACATCACCACTTAACCCTGTCCTCATTGTCCTCCTACGGAAAATTGGTTGATTGTAGTAGTACCTACGGTATAGGATTGTTGAGTAAATGAGTTCATACTTTGTTAAGTGCTTGGACGTGGGCCTGGTACATTATGAATACTGTATGTTAACTATTCTCTCATCCCAGAGCAAGTGATAGTTGCTCAGTTCTCTCCAACTCTTTGTGACCCCATGCGATGACAGCCTCCTCTGTCCGTGGAATTCTCCAGGCAAGGATAGTGGAGTAGGTTGCCATTTCCTTCTCCAGGGGATCTTCCCGACCAGAGATCAAATACAGCTCTCCTGCATGCAGGCAGATTCTTGACCATCTGCGCCACCAGGGAAGCCTACTATTAAGAGACATTTTTAAGTGTAAAGACAGGTCAACTTAAAATTATCATCAGGTACATGCTTGAATTTTTCTTATAATCTAGAGACAATACATCAGAATATGTAATGAACCATACAGCTTTTCTAAAGGAATACCTGAGATAGAAGTAGCAAGAAGGTTATAAATGACAATTCCAGAGTCCCTTCTCATATATTCTCTGGACCTGGTTGATCTTTCCAGATACCCTCATCACAAATGTGATGTTTGGTAAAGAAAACTGCCAATAATTGGTGAAATGATTTTGCTCATGTCTATGGAACATGACCAACCAAGCAGTGAACCAAGGATGAGTCAGGTAGAAGAGGTCTGAGGAGAGAGAGGGCAGGCTTGACTGGGGAGTCTGTCTCTTTAGGGGAAGAAGAAGGTAAAAGGTGGGGATGATCGGGAGGAGATGACAGAGAGCCAGGAGGCTAGGACTAAAGCCAGCTACCAGCTCCTAAAGGTTGAGGGTGTTGGTGGTGGGGGGGTGGTCATGGAGGGGAAATACAGGGATCTAGGATCAGTGGGTCAGGAAGAGGCAGGGGTGAACTTCCTCCCAAGGACAGAGCTGAGGTGTCCCCTTTGAATGAGGAAATAATTCAAATAAATGCCACTGAAATCTGTTCTGAACAGATTGCCAATAATGGACCACACAGTGGATTTGCTACACAGTGACAAATCCATGTTTTTTAAAATACTTTAAACACTTCCCAGTTGTTTCAAACAGACAATATTTACAAGAAGTTGCAATCAGCTAAATAAAATGTCTATAAAGCCCCTCCCTGTCTCCCTCCTTCCCTCCTTCTCTCTGCCTCTCTGTCTCTCTCTTTCATACAGAGGTCATTCCAGCTGGGCAAATACTAGATTGTCAGATAAGATTTATAACATGACAGTATTTTATTAATGAATCTTCGGGGTATGCAGACCTTCACACAGGCCTGGATGACCAGTTTTTTCCCTTTCTTTTCAAAGTCGCTCAGTCATGTCTGACTCTTTGCAACCCCATGGACTATACTGTCCATGGAATTCTCCAGACCAGAATACTGGAGCGGGTAACCTTTCCCTTCTCCAGGGGATCTTCCCAACCAAGGTCTCCCTCATTGCAGGCAGATTCCCACCTTCTAAGGAAGAATGAGCAGAGCAAACATGAGGGGGATGGCATCAAAAGCAAAAATCATCAAAGCAGGTTTTTTGCAGCCTGCATATGTATGTGTATGCCAACAGACCACCCAAAATTTCTTTGCAGTTTCCACACACTTAATTTTCTCACTAGATACATACTGGGATATCCTCTAAAGGCTGGTTTCCTTCCTGTGCTCTATTGTTCAGACATCCTTAATAAATCAATTATATTAAATGATTTCCAATTAATTATGAAAGGGATAAAAAGATAAAGTTGGTTTTTTAAAAGACAAAAAAAAAATCACACTCTAAGGAAAGCATGCCTGATTTCCTAAGCCATTATAAAGCCTCTATGTAACCCTTTGCATTTGGGAACATCATCTAATCCAAAATAATATTTCTCATTTATTTATTCAAGAAATACTTACTGGGGCTTCCCTGATAGTCCGGTGGTTAACGCTCTGCAGTTGCAATGCAGAGAATGCGGGTTCAGTCCCTGGTTGGGGAATTAAGATCCCACATGCTGCATGGCCAAAAAATAAAAAAATTTAAAAACAGAAAAGAAATACTGACATCTACTGTGTGTGTGCCAGGCACCATTGTTATAGACACTGAGGATACATCAATGAATCAAATAGAAGTTCATTT